TCTTGTTAAATAATAATATGGTAATGAGACACGTAGACATAGTAAATTATACTTTTTCTGGCCTGTCAATACCATTAATTTTCAGGGTGGTATGGCGGTAACACTAAGACTTACTAAGCAGGCGAAGTTGCGGAAACTAGCTTATTTATAAAATCAGAAGGAATAACGCAGTGGCCTTCACCTTAGTTACAGAATAATGTAAACTGTCACCTCCTTGACATCATAAACAATAGTAAAAATACTTCTTTATATTATTTTACGCAAGTCTTTCCATTCATATTAAAATTACGTACGTTTACGAGTACAGACAAGATTTACGTCCGGGAACGAAGTACAATCAACATCAGACTGTACATTATTGTTTCAAAACAGTACCTATTTACTATCTATACTTATAATATTATAAATGCGAAAGTAAATCTGTCTGTCTGTTTGTCTCTCTTTCACGCCTAAACCGCTGAACCGATTTTGATGAAATTTGGCATAGAGATAGTTTGAGTCCCGGGAAAGGACATAGGATAGTTTTTATCCCGGTTTTTGAAACAGGGACGCTCGCGATTAAGTTTTTCTGTGACAGACAAAAGTACACGCGGGCGAAGCCGCGGGCGGAAAGCTAGTATCAAATAAATGTAATTTTAAATATAGTTCCATATTTTACTGAATTTTACTAAATCAATATCAACTAAACACACTTTAGTCAAGTGTAAGTTGTGTAGTAGAAACTAATCGAGTATAGTTTGGAGATGACTTTTTTTAGTAAGCTCCTCCAAACTATACACGATCAGTACGCAAAATTCGTGTATAGTTTGGAGTCACAGATTTACAAACAGGCACTCCGAAATATACACGAGCAGTTTCCTATGGGTGCGTTCTGGCCATGTATAGAACGGAAAGACGCCACGCGGGCGAAGCCGCGGGCGGAAAGCTAGTAATACATTATAACCCGATCAAGCTAACTGCGCACCTTGCTAGAATGCGACTCTCCCTCCCACTTACCCGCGCAAGAGCTGCTATTTTATTTTATTTTATTTTATTTTATTTTATTTTATTTTATTTTATTTTATTTTATTTTATTTTATTTTATTTTATTTTATTTTATTTTATTTTATTTTATTTTATTTTATTTTATTTTATTTTATTTTATTTTATTTTATTTTATTTTATTTTATTTTATTTTATTTTATTTTATTTTATTTTATTTTATTTTATTTTATTTTATTTTATTTTATTTTATTTTATTTTATTTTATTTTATTTTATTTTATTTTATTTTATTTTATTTTATTTTATTTTATTTTATTTTATTTTATTTTATTTTATTTTATTTTATTTTATTTTATTTTATTTTATTTTATTTTATTTTATTTTATTTTATTTTATTTTATTTTATTTTATTTTATTTTATTTAGGATAACAAACAATTGTACAATTCAGATATGCAGTAAAGTTATACATCGACATTTAGTTATTGTACAACCCGCACCGCTATCCCCATCTTACAAACATGCTTTGCCTCTTTGCACCACTAGCTGATCTATGGAAATGAACAGAACAATCAGTGGAGCCCACGGCCACGGATACCTCTATTCATTCCCACAAATCATTTAAATTGGAATTTTCCAAGTGAACAGAGTTATTTATATAAACAGTCAGACAGTTAACACAGCATAATAATATTTTATAACAATATTCTGATTTAAACAATGAATTGTGATTGCAGTGAATCTGTTAAGCTGTGTGCGTTGAAAGAGCTACCGGAAAACCGGGAAAATTCCCGTCTTTAAAAATACTCCTGGTAATGGCTCAACTCTAGTCCTGTTTGTCCTATGCAGTTTTTTTTAACCTGGTGTTTTACAGCTCTGGGCCCCGATTACGGTAATTTTTAACGTCTCCAATCCAGACACGCTTCTCGATTCTGCGATACGATTGGTCGTTCAACAGCGTACGTCAGCTGTTTTGACCAATCGTATCGCAGAATCGATGAAGCGCGTCTGGATTGGAAACGTTAAAAGTTACCGTAATCGGGGCTCTGGGCTCAAGCCCTTTTATGCCAATCGATCGTTATTAATAGACAAAATTATATCTATTTTTAAACAACAACATACCATAAAGATATCCTCTAACCGTTATGATATAATCATGAAGACACTTATCACAAACTAAATATACAACATTTGATTACGAAACATTCGTTTATTACACCCGTTACGTTTCTAAAACTCCATGAAAACAATGTAATTAAATGAAGTGTAATTAAATTTTTGTTATCACTTCCACACCCAGTTCAGTCTAGAATAATACTGATAATCGAGGTACGAACTGCAAGTAACAATAACTAAGTAAATACAGTTATCTTAGCATAAAAAAGTTCTATGATTACTAGCTGTTCCCACGACTTTTTAAGCGTGAAAATAGTTTGAATAATATTTCCCGTTCTTTTTTCTTTACTGCTCCGCCTCTATTGGCTGTAGGGAGATGTTATATTATTTATAGACTAAAGCTACCTCCGATAAATGGGCAATCCAACACAAAAAGAATTTTTTCAATCGGACCATTAGTTCCTGAGATTAGCACGTTCAAACAAACAAACTCTTCAGCGTTATAAATAATATTAGTATAGAAGTATAGATAAAAAACGTTCAATGATTATGTATTCAGAAACACGTAACTTGCAGATAAGTAAAGTCCACAAACAATAGGATTTAATTTAAAATGAAATTGTAAAGATGGTGGCTTGTCAAGCATCATCATCATTTCAGCCACAAGACATCCACTGCTGAACATAGGCGTCCCCCAATGATTTTCAAACTGTGTACATAGGCGATAGGCCCTTAGGAAGAATGCCCAAGTAATAGCAGGTTATAGTGTATTTTTCAAGTGGATAAGTTGTTTTAACATTGCAATCTTTTTTCAATCTATTTGGTCCTTAATATTGATAGTTTCATCAGTTTCATGTTAAAACAGTCAAAGAAGTCGCCCTGCAAGCGAAAGGTTGTGGGTTCGATTCCCGCCTTAGGCAGTTCCATTTTTTCGAGTTGTTTATCGAAAAATGTAAACTGCCAGTTGTTTGTTATTTTTGGTGACGTCAAATTAAGGACTCCCTATCTACATAACAATCAAAGATAATATATACTTATGTCTACTTATGTCACGACACTGACGTAGGGACTGACAGAACTTATTTAAATAATAATAAAAATAAAAATGAATGCAACGTTGAATAGTCTTACGTCTAAGAAGGCAATGACTTCTGACTTTTATTTCTTACGTAATACGATTAACAATAAACAGTTGTCTTATCACAATTCTTTTCATCTTTTTTGTTGAATAGAGAACTATTTTAAATACGAATACACTAATTTCTAGACTATTTGATCAAGCAGTTAATTTATTAATATATTTTAGATATTTTAAGTTGTTTCTTCAACTAGCATGAATAAGTTATTAAAATAGTAATAGGTTCAGTGTACATAAAACTATTATATTAACATGTTAATACTTTGAAAGTTTTACAGATTGAATGAAACCCACTTACATTTTATTTCAAAGTAGGAAGCAGTTACAATATTTTGCACTATTGATTTTTGCAGACTAACTATAGTTAGAGACATCAACCATATGTTGAATGTTGATATTTAAACTAAAATTTTAAACCCTCAAATTAAGTTTTCTTAAATTACATGGTTTCTTTTCAGCCTTATAACCATGTTTTAGACCTCAGATTAAGTTAAGTTATTTTTATTTGAGCACTGCCATTTCTAACAATATTCTTATAAGATTCTGATAGGCCAAAATTTGATCAGGGTATCTAATATTATATTCATTCCTATTATTGATTTAAATTCAACATATTCGTAAATGTATCTACATGACAAACATACTTCAAATATAGTTGAAATTGTAAGTAGGTCAGCAGATAAGCTTGGTTTTATCTAAGAATGTATTGCCAACGCCTTAGTTTTTGTAAACATTATGCTTTCTAAATTAGTTAAATAGTACAGTTACAAACATACTTATTTTGTATGTAATTTATTATACAATAAATATGATTTCTGCTCTTAATCATGCTGTAAGCATAAGTTTTAAAAAGATTAACTATTTCGTATGTGTGTATGATGTTCAGAGTGTTATATGAATATTTTAGGTATTCTTCTTAAACTTAGCAGTAGAAAGTTGGAACTACTTGGCAAAACAATCAAGAGTTGGGTTTTTAAGAGTACAGTTTAAAAGATGTACATAAACATGTACCGATGACTAAATATCAACTTTCCCTCGCAAAATTAGTGTTTATATAAGTTGTAAAGTAGTGTTAGATAAACATTAGCCCGTGTCTTTACATGCCCTAGTTAGATTTCACAAGTCATCTCCGCTAACAATTTGTCGGGCATTACAGCGTACTTTAGCACTAGCGATCCAACGTAAGTGCTGATGATAACACAAAAAACACTGTCAAGCAAGGACAAGAGTCGAAAATCCGCATAAATTACAGTTTAGATAAAAATCTCATTGAAAACCGTACTGTGAACTAGAAGTATAGAACTAAATCCTGCTAATACTGGATACGTAGGCTGGATGGGACAAAATAAGGAAGGCTTACTTACCGACACAGTATCCAAGAACGTTTTTGCTGGGTTTAACAATGTAATTTATAATTAATTCAATGAGAAAAAATATAAATTCACGACCAAACGAATCACGGAAGCTGCGAAATTGACAGATGGACAGATAAATCAAAACCAGTCAACTTTTCAGTATGCGTTTCGTTCAAAGCTTTGATTTCAATACAAAGAAAAAAAGATTTAAAGAAAATCGTTATTACTCGGTAAAAATAACAATAAATGCATTTTATATAAGCTAAATAAAGTAAATAAATTAATATGTACTATTGAAAATAACTCCAACACCTTTCGATTTCAATTTTTAAAGTTACAATCTTAATCGAGATAAAATGTGAAAAACATTTTCAGTACGTCACTACGAAACGTCAATCACGGAAAAAAAATCTCGCGCGCCATTGCTCGCGCAAGACATTTTTTCGCGTCTTGAAAAATTATTGTCTTTTTTACCCAAACAACGTTAAATCTTTGAAAGTAAATCCAAAATGGGTTTGCCTGGAATACCGGAGGATAAATTGCCTCCGTGCTGGTCCGACGATGTGCGTATGAATGCGTTATTTGCACCTTTTCGGATAAAGACAGCCAACCCCGAATCTTGGGACATGAAGATGAAATTCTGGAGTGATATGTTGAGACAGTGGTGTAAATGTAAAAAGGATCCGATAATATCTGCGGCGGACGCTAAATTCTCGTTTCAGCGCAAAGGTCGCACGCCAGCGTGCATCGATATTGTTGTTGAAGAATTGTGTCGGTAAGTCTATTATTTAATCTTTATTATCCCTCCAACAGTCCCTGATGCAATCGTGCAGTAATAAGGAAGTGGAAACAATCGTTAAACTTCATTTAATTACCGAGTTTAACTATAAAATGACATATTAAAGCTGTGCTGTAAGATAATATTCAATAATATGCAAATATCGGTTGAAGGTCGCACATGATAGGCGAAAATCTTTGTACTGTCATAAATACACTCGTTTAAGCGTCGTGGCGAGGATTACACAAAGGTATTGTGCTTTATTTTCAGTTAATTGAATGTTTAAAACATGTTTCTATAAACACAAATTTCTAATTCTTATTCCCATGCAATATCACACTAATTTATTACAAATTTATATCCTACTACTTTTACTACAGCTACAAAATACTCCTACAGATAATTCATTTCATATTTAGGTACACCTCAGGGAACATAGTTAAATAATTTAGACTTAACTCCATTATACTGATTGCTATAGCAACAGTTTGTTCTATAATCTTACTTAGATTATTTCACAATCCTTAATTCTTATAAAAACAGATCCTAGATACCATTCACATATTGCTAGAGAATATAGAAAATGTACCAAATCCCAACTAATATTATAAATGCGAAAGTAACTCTGTCTGTCTGTCTGTCTGTCTGTTACGCTTTCCCGCTTAAACCTCGCAACCGATTTTGATGAAATTTGGCATAGAGATAGTTTGAGTCCCGGGAAAGAACATAGGATAGTTTTTATCCCGGTTTTTGAAACAGGGACGCGCGCGATAAAGTTTTTCTGTGACAGACAAAAATCCACGCGGGCGAAGCCGCGGGCGGAAAGCTAGTGTAAAAATATACTTAAAAGGTAACAATTTCTGTCTGATCTGTATCTGGTGTGTAATGTAACATTCATGTCTGTTGTTATGGATGGAATGATTCATTAGAAACTATTGAGTTACAACAAGTACATCAAAAACAAAAACATTAGTTCGAGAAATTCTGGAAGTTACAGAATTAAAACAAGAGTGAACTTCGCACCTTGTCTAGCTCACTCCTGTTTTGAATGTACGTAAAGTCAGACAAAATTTCATTGTTTGTTTACATCATCTTTCAATATAAATGCGAAATACTCACTGATTAATCGCGAAATCTCTGAAACTATAACACCTACATCCTTGAAATTTGGCAAGTAGGTTCCTTATAGAGTGTAGACATCCGCTAAGAACGGATTTTACGAAACTCCACCCCTAAGGGGGTAAAATGGGGCCACGCGGTACGAAGTCGCGGGCGTCGGCTAAGTTTTATTAAAAGTAGACATCAGATAGTCTCACCTTTGCTAAACCAGATAGGTCATCATCATCATTTCAGTCATAGGACATCCACTGCTAAACATAGGTCTCCCCCAATGATTTCCATGTTGATCGATTAGTAGCGGCCTGCGTCCAGCGACATCCTGCTACCTTTATGATGTCGTCGGTCCACCTTGTGGGACGTAAACTTGATGGGTACGATTCAATAACAACCAGTTTGAAAAATAAATTTTCCTTAAAAAACACAGCTGTTTGGTTCCAACAGAGTTGAATAAAACCACCTCTTATTTCCATCTAGCTATCATGGGGTGAGCAGACCATATCCTCTGTTTGCCTCTGGTAAATTATTAAAAACACACTCCTGTAGTGGAGACCAAATGAACAGTCAATGATAAAGGCTTCCACAGACCAAATGCGGGTCAGAAGCAGTGCGGGTCAGTTGCAGCGCGGCTGAGGCACACTGAAAGCAGCGCAGTTTCAAAGTAGTTGCAACGCGGGCGGTTGTCAAAATTTTAAATATTCGAAAACCGCTTTCAACGCGCTGCTACCGCCCTGCGTCCAGTGTGTCATGCTAATATGGCCGCCATTGTAATACAACAGCGCGGGCCCGCGTTCGCGCCGCTTCTGTCCCGCACCCGCGCCGCCTCGTTTGTCGTTCGGCAGTTGCAGTGCGGCGCGGTTGGAGCGCGGGCCCGCGTTCAAATTTGGTGTGACACACTTCAAAGAGTTTCTTGTATTACAACTTGCGCGGGCCCGCATTTAAACTGCGCTGCTACTGCCCCGCGTTTGGTCTGTGGAAGCCTTAGATGTACATTTAATTTTACAGGAGCGGAGAACTGTCCCCTCTCTCCAAATACCAGCAAATCCTCCACAATGGCCCAGAAGGCTGGGTTCGCTGGGGAGCCCGATTAGCCTTCAAGCCGGCAGCATTCGCTCTCACCGCTGTCTCATCGTTACTGCCTGGTCGACAGAGTTTGGATAATGATGGGCTGCCGAAAGCCAGTATCGATTCTACTCAACGATGGGTGGTGGAGAGCGCTGTGAAGGTAGGAAATTGAATTTTACTATTTTAATATGCAAATTCAACTAAGGACACTCCCTCTCTTTCTATGAATATCATTAAAAAAGATAGTTATTAGTTAATTTGCTATTTGATAAATTGTTAAAATTGACGACCAGTTACAAGCAGGGCAGTTTTTGTAATCTTACGTAAGAACTATCAAGACAGCCTTATAAGAAAAAATAAGACACGGTCGACTCCCCTCCTCACCTAAATCGTCTTACGTAATAAATGAATGGGCCGCCCAACGGCCGTTTTCCCTATTTTTTAGGTACCCCTACCTATGGTAATAAATAGCAGGAATTTTGTTTTCATAGGGTCACTTAAAAATTAGGGATTGATGGTGAAAACAGGCATAAGTCTGGCTTTTTAGGTAACTTAAATTGTACTTTTCTTGTATAATCATCCATTCATTTATTGTGTTACAGATTTTTACTACCTGTCAATTTCTTAAAATGTAATTTGACCAAATTGTAGGCCCATGCGGCGGAACACAGCTGATCTATCATACAAATTTAATGACCTGACTTATGTACCTGTGATTTCACAATAAACACAATTTGAATTTGAATTCATTTGTCCTCCAATTTCCAGGAGCAAGCCACAGAGCTCCTCAACTCGTACCCTTCCCACGAGGAGCGCATCGGCACCATAGACGAGCTGATGAAGAACTGCGCCTGGCCGGGCAGCCGGGAGACGTTTGAAGTGCTGCTCGGGTATCTAGTGGCTCAAGGAGCAGCGGTTAAGAAGGATGAGATAGTTAAGATTGGTGAGTTATCAAAATCAAAAATATTTAATTCAATTTTGACGAGTGTTTTGGCACTTATGTATGTCCAAGGTGATCTATACCAGGGTTTCCCAATTTTTTTTTTTCCAAGGAACCCTAATTGATTATACTTTTCCTAGCGGAAGCCCCGTACTACTCCGTCCGCACGCCCTGCCCCTCCCTTGTGCGTAAACAAGTCGGTGCGAGCGAACAACGTCGGTCACGAAACGTGGGATAATATTTTTTACGGAACCCTTGCGGCCTTTCCACGGAAACTCAGGGTTCCGCGGACCACCATTCGGGAACCGCTGATCTATACTAATATTATAAAGCTGAAGAGTTTGTTTGTTTACTTGAACGCGCTAATCTCAGGAACTACCGGTCCGATTTAAAAAATTCTTTCAGTGTTAGATAGCCCATTTATTGAGGAAGGCTATAGGCTATATACCATCACGCTACGAGTAATAGGTGTAGAGCAAAAATTAAAAATGTTGCGAAAACGGGTTTTCACGCGTATGAAGTCGCGGGCACAGCTAGTAACTAATAAAGGTAGCCTTTAGGTGTACTTTACATGTCTCCTTGACACTACCAGCGCTTCAAGACAAGCATATTAAGGCAATTTAAAGTTTAATTGCAATAGGTATGTTCGTTTCAGCCAAATCACATCCATCCTGTGTTACCCGCATTCAGGTGCTTCCCGCGACCTTCACCACACCAGATCGTCGGTCCACCTAGTAGGCAGCCTTTCCACACTACAATTTTATTGCAACATAAGAGTACAAAAATCGAACTGCCTAATAATAATGATAAGAGTACAATTTTATTGCTTTACATAGTATTTTTAACTGACTTCTCAATTAAATTGTATCGACTAGCTTTTCCCCTTGGCATCACTCTTGTAATGTTTTATCCTCGGTCTCAAACTATCTACATCCTGTCCCAGTATTCCAGAATGCAACGATAAACCGCCGCCATATGGTGGACAAAGTCATGACTACTTTAGAAAAACTAAGAAAAAAATCAATTTCACATCAAAATGTTATTCTGATGCTTGAACCCTTAAAATGTTTTTTCCAGCACAACCGGACAAGAAAGCAACACCAGTGACAGAGACAGACGAAGCGCTGGTCAAGCTGATGACAGCCGAAAGCCGATTGGGGGCGGAGCTAACGCGGCTCGCGCGTGACGTCACTTCCGCCGAAAGCGACGCGCGCGCAGCGTTACAATTGGGCAACAAACTTGCTGTGAGTCAAATACGCTAGTTTAGATTGTGTATGACGTCATTGGTAGCCTATGTATTACAAAATCTATGAGAGATTCGCATTTTGACAGCTCATAAAAATATTTTTAACCAAACCAGTCACAGAACCTATACTCAACGCAATGGACAAGTTTCGTGATGTTGAAAACATTAGATTTCACTGAAAGAGATTAAAATATAAACCAAAACTAAAACCTGGTGAAGTTATTTTTGAAATCCATCTAGAAATGGCCGAGAAATTAATTATTTAAATTACCTCCATATTTTCGCGTGGAATTTAAACATAGGCGGTGCCGTAACGTCAGGCCACCTGTTCAAGTTTCAATCACAATGCTTATAGATGACCCACGCTGAACTGTCCCACCAAACTCAATGACAGGGGGGCGCTACCATCGTTCAACTATATGGTTTCCAACATGGCAAAAATCGAAACCAGCGATCCGGTATTGACGGTGGCGCCCCACTGTCAATGTCATGGATAGGACAGTTCAGTATTTTGGAACTATACCACCCCTAACGCATTGTCGAGAATGACACTATAATGTCAAAGTCTTCTTTTTCTTTTTAAATATGGTCAGGTCTTGGATATTATGTCAAAAAAGGTTACAAAATTTTACTAAGATACAATCTTGAGTGACCCTGGCCGCCTAGGAAATTGAAGATTGGAAACTTGTTCATTCAAACTCGACAGTTGTAAACTGTGGTTCCCAAACCCGAATCATTGCATTAAAAAAAAAGACTAGTGGCGTCAACTGTCCTATTTTCATTTTTATTTGGTCGTTCTATGACTTGTTAAAGACTAAAGACTTGGCTGTATGATATATGCCTTTGCCTTTTCTAGCAAAAGGAAAGAATTATTATGTTGCTGTCGCGCTCGCACACTCACTGCGGGCGCCCGTCGCACAGTCGCGACAGCAATATAATTACGCGCGAGTGATAAGGATGGGTAGCTCGGGGTCATTGGACAAAATTCTACGTGCTCACAGACCGGGCTTTAACCAAAAACAATTCCACCAAGCAGTCGATTTTTCAAAGGTTTAACCTTTGAAAAATCGATTGCTTGGTGGAAATTGAATTCAAGATTCTAAAAACATTGTATGATATGCTACTTTTGTTAATTTATAAACTTAACTGTTATTTACCAGGCCAAGAACCACCTCCGCAGGAAACTCAAGGCTCAACAACGCGCCACCCGCTGCGAATCAACCTTAGAAAATGTCCGCCATCTGCTACAGCAAACTAGAGAGGCGGATGTCAACGCTGCTATCGTCGACACCTACAAGTGAGTATCTTTGTATAACCACCTCCGCAGGACCCCGAGAATGAAGACCCCGAGCAAACAATAAACATCAGTAAGAGAGACGTGACAATAGACGGGGGATATAGACAAACGACAGAAGATAGAAACAAAAGATAGACATCGAGAATCTGAATCTTATCACCTCCACAGGAAGATGAAGGCCCTGAGAAATAATAAGCGTCTTAGTTCGCGAGAGAGACAGAAACAAGAGACAGAGATAGAAATAAGAGGCAAAGACAAGAGACAAACGATAGAGACAAGACACCTACAAGGGCTAAAGCCTGGTCCGTGAGCACTTAGAATCCCGTCCAATGACCCCAAGCTACCCATCCTTATCGCTCGCGCGTAATTATATTGCTGTCGCGACTGTGCGACGCGCGCCCGCAGTGAGTGTGCGAGCGCGACAGCAATATAATTACGCGCGAACGATAGGGATGGGTAGCTTGGGGTCATTGGACGGGATTCTACGTGCTCACGGACCAGGCTTTACAAGTAAGTATTTTTCTCTAACCTTATCAGGAAGCTGAAGGCCCTGAGCAAACAGTAAGCGTCAGTTCGCGAGAGAGACCCTTTGTTTCTGACAAAAAGAGATAAAAGAGAGAGAGAGACAAAAGAAACAAGAGACAGCGACAAAAAAGAGACAAAAACAAGAAACAGAGAAAAACTTGATCAAGGCATAAGCTTCATAAGAGGCAGAAACAAAAGACAGAGGCCTAAGTAACGATTGCGCTCTTCCATCTCGCTCGATTGTATCTATCTCTTGCTACCTTTTGTTTGTCTCTTGTCTCTGTCTGGCGTAAACTGTGTCAAAATGTTAAGGACCCTGTTAAAAATGGTCATTAAGGATCTAAAGGGCTCTTTACTTGTAAAAGAAGGCTCAGCAACGCGCCACCCGCTGCGAATCAACCCTAGAGAATGTCCGCCATCTACTACAGCAGACTAGGGAGGCGGATGTCGATACCTACAAGTGAGTAGCGGATTTTTGGTAGGGAGAGCCCCACATAACACATTAGCTACTGGGTATACAAATTCATGTATTTCCCTGATAATAAAAAAAATCCTAGAGGAGATCCGTAGGAGAACCAAAGTGACTGACATAGCCCGCAGAATCGCTAAAATCAAGTGGCAGTGGGCGGGGCACATAGCTCGAAGAGCTTATGGCCGCTGGGGCAGGAAAGTCCACGAGCCGGAAGACGTAGCGTGGGCAGGCCTCCCACTAGGTGGACCGACGATCTGGTGAAGGTCGCGGGAGGCGCGCAGGACCGGTCTTTGTGGAAATCTTTGGGGGAGGCCTTTGTCCAGCAGAGGACGTCTTTCGGCTGAAACGAACGAACGAAAAAAAATCGAGAAACTTCTGTAGTCCTAGAATCACGGCGTCGGCAAATCTTAGCAATACGAAATTAAATTTATGTCGTGACAAAAAATTATTATACAATATAAACGAGAATTTGTCTACAAGTTAGTCGAGAATCTTTTGCTGTTATATTAGTCTAAAACACTGTGGCGTGGGACGTCCACCCATAAGGTGGACTGACGACATCATAAAGTTAGCAGGAAGGCGCTGGACGCAGGCCGCTACCAACCGGGCAACATGGAAAGCATTGGGGGAGGCCTATGTTCAGCAGTAGACGTCCTATGGCTAAGATGATGATGATGAAACACAGCTTAACTTTAAAATGTTTTTGTCAACAGAACCACAGCCGATGCTATGAAGCGCGGCATGAAGGAAGGCGGACTGGAAGAAGATGCCGTTTACGACACCATAGATGAACTCAAAGAGGTGAGGATATTGCGGTTTTTATCACGGTGCCATAGCGAGCAGTGCAGGATTAGCCTCATTTACGTAACAAAACTTCAACGACTACAAATCGCTGAGTTGCGATCATATCACTCGATATCCGTATTCATAAGGATCATTTCGAAAGAACGGATGACGGATTTAGAACTGTTTTTCAATGGTACGACGTAACTAAACGTCAATGACAACAAATCGCTGAGTTGTGATCCTAGCGAGCAATTTAACTGACGGTGACATAATCTAAATAAATAAATCTGTTACAGGTCATGGACACATACAACGAGGTGGAAAAAGCCCTCAGTTCCACGGTTGAAGAATATGACGCCCAAGAGTTGGAGGATGAGCTCAAGGAACTACTCGCAAAGCCCGGCCCTCCCGGAGGAGGCACTCCAGGAAAAGAAGAGAAGACAGGTGCGGAATGTGTATTATAGTCTGGTCTGTGAGCACGTAGAATTTTGTCCAATGACCCCAAGCTACCCATCCTTATCGCTCGCGCGTAATTATATTGCTGTCGCGACTGTGCGACGGGCGCCCGCAGTGAGTGTGCGAGCGCGACAGCAACATAATTACGCGCGAGCGATAAGGATGGGTAGTAAGGGGTCATTGGACAAAATTCTACGTGCTCACAGACTGGGCTTTAGTAGATATAGATAGAACTGCAGCATGTGCGTTAAATAGGTCTACACGCTGTATATTATAAGAAAAATAGGGGTACAGCCTTCGTATTATATGAGCTACACCCTGTATATTACATGGGCTACATTCTGTATGTTAGATACCACGGCTACACCCTGTATGTTACAAGTAAGGCTACACTCTGTATGTTGCATAGGTCTACAGCTTGTATATTACATAGGGCTACAGCCTGGAGCCTTCCTTTGTAGTATAGTTACCAAATAAGGAAGGGCTACATCCTGTGTATTCTAAGAATAAGGCTACAATCTATGGCTGTAGGCTACAGCCTTCATGCTACAAAAAAGAAGGGCTACAGTTTTTTTGTCACATGGGTTACACCCTGTATGTTACATGAGCTACATCTTGTATGTTAGAAGCCCTAGATACTAGGGCTACAGCCCTTATGCTACATAGAATTTAAGGCCACAGTCTGCGTATTAGACACTATAGTGAAGAAGGTAAGACTACAGCCTGTATCTTAGACACTATCATAAAGCCCTCAGTTCCACGGTGGAAGAATATAACGCCCAAGAGTTAGAGGATGAGCTGAAGGAACTGCTTGCAAAGCCTGGTCCTCCTGGAGGAGGCACTCCAGGAAAAGAAGAGAAGACAGGTGCGGAATGTGTATTATTTAACCGCCTCTGTGGTCTAGTGGTAAGACCACCTGCTTCAGACGCAGAGGTCCCGGGTTCGATTCCCAGTGGGGGCAGATTTTTCTGTTCGGTTTGGTTGGTGGTAGGGCTTGTTCTAAGTCCGCCTGGCTAGCTACCACCATCTTGCCTAAGTCTCTCGCCATAACAACAATGTTAACAGCATTATTGTGTTCCGGCAGTTAGATGTAAGATCGCCAGTTCCCACCGTGGTTGAGGATTCCGGGTGAAGCTCGCTTCCACCTTCGGCCTGATAAAATAGGGGTATAGCCTTTGTATTATATGAGCTACACTCGGTATATTACATGGGCTACATTCTGTATGTTAGATACCACAGCTACACCCTGTATGTTACAAGTAGGGCTACACTCTGTATGTTGCATAGGTCTACAGCCTGGAGCCTTCCTTTGTAGTATAGTTAGCATAATAAGGAAGGGCTACATCCTGTGTAATCTAAGAATAAGAGAAGACAGGTGCGGAATGTGTATTACCAGGCCTGTGGCCTAATAGGCTTTTCGCCCAAATTTCAATAATTAGTTAATAATATACCTTGATGCCTATTTTATACAAATGCGCTCTTATTTTGGAAAAAAATCTCATCTCCAAGGATTATTTTGCATTTTCAATAATATTTGACATATAGCCCTCAAAAACGCTCACGACCGTCATGGCGTCTTGAATGACGTCACGCCTTGCAAAACACAGCTGTTTTAGTACGGAAATTGTAAAGTTAAATTAATTACAAATGGATCCATCGTATTTCAAGTCCTGTATAGTGCCCCAATGTACATGCACAAGAATAAAAACGCCAAATAAGTTATTTATAGGTATACGTACCAAACAATCAGCAGATACGTAAAATATGATGTCCATTGTTTATCAACAAAATCAAGGATGTATTTTTGTGAAGATCATTTCAATGTAAGTTAGATATTTCACACAACATAATCTGATATCATGTACCTACATATTATAATGAAATTGTTGAATTTTGTTTAAGAATAATGATAACAACAAAATGAGGTTAGGAACTATTCATGACATATTTACCAACAAACTTCACTTTTTTACTTTTTTTTTTTATAGAAATTCACGGCTCTGGGTCAAGACTTCACATGAAGAAAAGTGTTGCCAGTCGGGTCTTGTCAGAAATTACCAGAAATGTAAAAAAATGTAACCTATTTTTAAAATGTACTCTCTCATCTTATTCATAAATGGGAAACTATAGTATTATTATACTATTTATATCACTTAGTTCTACTGTACAGTACCTATATCTAACATTATTTGCCAAAACTCGAGACATAATGTAAAATTATTTGTTGAGCCTTATAAAGAAATAATATCTACAAATTTCGAAAAATCACCTAAACGGTTACAAAAATAACCTTCTAGCAACACTCAAATGTTGGCAATGACAATCTGGCCTAAAAGGGCTCGCACCCAGAGCCGTAAAAAACTATATTTAAAAAGATAGAAAAAATGACGTAACGCTTTCTGATTGGTGTTTGCTGTCACGTGACTTATGGGCCATTTTTTCCGAATTTATTTGCTAAAAATATAAATAATCTTTAATTATTATTTTATGTAGTTTCGTTTTTCATTAATTATACGACTATCTTAATAGTTATACAATCTTATACTGCAGATTTATTCACTATGGATACAAGCCTATTCACGTATCATAACTTCAACAACATGCAAGCGATTTGATCGCTGGAGTCACTTCGTACTCACGTATTATTCGTTCGATTTCGTTTCGATATGTGTGTCACCTTGTGCGTCCACGCGAACTGTGAGACCTCATAGTAATGTTTGTGAATACGGGCGTAAGTTGCTCGCGTCGCGTAGTAGGTGCTACTTTAAAATCAAATCAATTATCATGTATCAATCTTATCTTTTTTTCTTCCAACAGAAAAACCAAAAGAGAAAACGCGCAAAGAGTCCGAACGCGATTTCGTTTTCGACGGCGAGGAGCGTATACTGGCCGAGTTGGAACAACTGGACGTGGAGCACGGAAGCCCTAAAGAGAAGAGAACAGAAGAGAAGAAGAAAATACCCGTCACTGAGGAGTGGGAGACTGAACTGGGTAAGTTTTCTTCAAATAGATTGATCGTTCGTTCGTTCGTTTCAGCCAAATGACGTCCACTGCTGGACAAAGGCCTCCTCCAAGGTTTTCCACAATGAACGGTCCTGCGCTGCCCGCATCCAGGCTCTTCCCGCGAACTTTACCAGATCGTCGGTCCACTTAGTAGGCCTGCCCATGCTACGTCTTCCAGCCCGTGGTCGCCACTCGAGAACTTTTCTGCCCCAACGGCCATCGTCTCTACGAGCTAGACCCACAGATCACAGAAACTAAAGGGAGATGTGAAAAGGGGCGGGGCCGGTGTCGCAGCAATATGCCCAAAAACGGAACACATTGCTCGAGACAGCAATGATGACAGCAACGATGTGGTTTCGTTTTCGACGGCGAGGAGTGTATTAAATCTTGTCTTCCCTTTTCATATTCCTTGTGTTCAACATTATTGTTAGACCCATTTTCGTCCGAAATATCGCAGTGTCTTAAGACAAAAGTCTATGACCAGTGTGTGTTGCCAGTGATGGTATATGGATCTGAAACGTGGTCACCAACTGTGGGCCTCATAAGAAGGTAACCCAAAGGGCGAAGGAGCATGCTATGCTACCCTACCTGACATTACATGTAAGTCGAGAACAGAATCGCCCCTAAATGCGATGGAGCGTACTATGCTCTGAGTTTCCCTGCGTGATCGAATCAAAAATGAGGAGATCCGTAGGAGAACCAAAGTGACCGACATAGCTCGTAGAATTGCTAAAATCAAGTGGCAGTGGGAGAGGCACATAACTCGTAGAGCTGATGGCCGATGGGGCACAAAAGTTCTCGAGTGGCGACCACAGGCCGGAAACTTTGAACAGTCTCCTAAATTGTCCTCAGACTCTAAAGGCTCCTTCAAAAAAGGAAGCACATTCTATACTCACTCTGCATGGGGCACACTGAAAACCAGCGCCGTGGCCTTCCTCACCGTGGGCCACGGCACATGCTGAGTGGGGTCCCGTTGCAGTGGGCATCTTGTTGGTGAATGGGTGGCACTGCTCAGTTTACACTTGTTTTTATTTTTTCTTCTTCCATTATTATGTGCCATTGTCATGTCTATGTAATTGCCTATATTTGTGTGATGTCCATTGTAATAAATGTATCTTTCTTTGTTCTTTCTATACTGACCTTTCTAACATTATAATATTCTTTCCAGCTAAACCGCAGCCCAAATCAACGAAGCCGTCTCAGTCGTGGTACCCGCCGTCTACGCAGAGCCTCCGCCCCGAGACGTGGAATAATAACCTGGACTCCGGCGAGATGCGGCAAGACCACCGGATACACCCGGGTAGGTACAATACAAGTATAATGTATGACGCGACGTTTGGTTCGTAAAACGGTGACACTGACACTAAAACATTTCATGAAGCGACTCATTGTTTTGTTACAAATTAATAAATGCTCGATGTAGAAAATTTGATGTAGGTCATAGCAGATTTATCAACACTGTAAGGGATCAACACCGTATCGCCTTGCTCGAGCTGTCATCGCTTTTCGCGCGCTGTCAACCGCGAGGCATGGCGTTTATTTAGGTGCGGATAAGTGTGCGTTCCAGTATGGAGTTTCATACAAAGAATACTGACCGCCTCAAGTTGTAACGGTTACGATCCCTTTCCGGGTTGATAAATGTGCTACGTCCTTATATCGTATTGCGTATCCTAGCCTAGCCGTAATGATCTATCTCATTTCAGGTCAGCCCCTAAACATAGACTTCACGACGCCCCCAAGACTATACAACTCGGACTTCCAAGTGCGCGACCAGAAGTTCAAAGATGGCGTCTGGCTGTACAACACTAGGGACGCTAACAGCAATGTGGATAGCGAATTAGGCGCTAGCACGGAATATTTTAGGTAAGACCCACGGCAGTCCAGTTATGCCGGATCCAGTAATGCAGGATCCCGCAAAACTCGACTGTCATGTGAGCACACATAGTGTGTTTGATTCGAATTACAAATTCGAACGATTTAAGATAATAATCTTTAGTGCTATAGATGACCCACGCTGAACTGTCCCACCAAACTCAATGACAGGGGGGCGCTACCATCGTTCAACTATAATTTTATTTTTATTTATCTTTATTAAAGAAACATACAGCCTTGTTTGACACATGCGGCTTAAAATTAATGGTTTCCAACATAACAAAAATCGGAACCAGCGATCCGGTATTGACGGTGGCGCCCAACTGTCAATGTCATGGATAGGACAGTTCAGTATTTTGGAACTATACACAAGCAATGTAAACTGTTTATACATACGTCGCTGCTGTCAACATTGCTGTCGCGAGCAATGTGTTCTATTTTTGGGCATATTGCTGCGACACTGGCCACGCCCCCTTGTCACAATATCTCCCTTTAGTTTCTGGGATCTGTGGTATTGACAGATCAGTCAGTAATGGTTGCCTTTTATAGTTCTGACTATTATATTAATACCATAATTTTGTCTCCAGCTCCGAAAGCCCGGGCAAGTCCGGCAGCTCGTTCCAAATGGCCCCCGGCGGGGAACGCAAGCGGGCCCCCCAGAAGGGCCAAGACCCCGTGGCCCCCGCGGCCCCCTGGCCCACAGACAACCCGGTAGAAGACCTGGAGAGGAGGTTGCGTAGCCTGAGAGGATTCAACTTATAATATTAAGTGTGTGAGTGTAATTATTATTATAGGATACAGTGGACAGAATATCAATTTACAAGGACAAAACTGGGTGATTTTGTGACGTCAGCGAGACTTCAGATCACTTTCAGATTCATATGCTCTGTCACGTCATAATATATCAATTCTCAATCTGATTTCTGATTCTGCTAGACCTATAGAAGATAGTCAATCCTCAACTTCGAATTCTTAAGGTACAGTTACACATTCTCATAAAATGTCATGTTTATTAGCATGCTCAAAACATGTGTGCTAGAACAACTCGAAAAGAGCATGCAGCAGTTGTTTCGACACAAGCTTTCAATTTTATAAACTTTAAAAAATCGAATTGCTTCAGCTTGGAATCGAACCCACAACCTTTCGCTTGCGACTGCTCTCACCGCTAAGACATTGGATAAATCCGTCTAAAATCGAAATCACGATTTTATATTTATTTCGAACTCTTATGTTCTTCTGATAAATTTCGTTACGGGTCTAATAACAGTTTAACTTTCCCCCGGGACAAACTTGACCTTCACTGGTTGGGTTGGCGGTCAAGCTGTAGATCCTGGCTACACAGGAGTTGCAGCGGTGGGAACGAGAGGTGGGAATCGTCCCGTATGTTCTAAATTTTTTGAATTGATATAAAAAAGTTGAATTCTCTAGTATTGTTCTAAGATAGGTTGTTGGGCTGTCCACTGCACGTATTTTATTTAATTTTAAATACTAAATACTCTGGTAAGTTTTAGTGTAAACAAATGTAGTTAGAAACCTAAGATGTGTTTGCTCTGTGCTATACTCGGTGCAAAGATTGCAGGCGGTGTAATAATAAGACAGTGAATATCACGTTTTCTTTCGCACTCACACTGGTTATGGGTGACGTCACACAGGCAGGCATAGCGTTGTTTATAATCCTACTATAATATTATAAAGGCGAAAGTTTGGATGTCTGGATGTTTGTTACTCTTTCACGCAAAAACTACTGAACGGATTTTGTTGAAACTTTACAGTATTATTGTTTATAACCCAGATTAACATATAGGCTATTATTTATGACGATATGTGACAAATTTTCAATAAATAAATAAGACGTGTCTAAAAAGCGCCATCTATCGTCATTGGTTAAAATCTACAGCGCTGGACAAACTACTGTTATTGATGTTCGTAAATATTCATGCGGGGGAAGCCGTGAAACGCCATCTATAAACATGATATCTAACGGGGGTAAAACAAGATCTACGCGTACGAAGTCGCGGGCGGCCGCTAGTACGTAATAATTAATAAAATATTGGCGAGCATGCATCACTGTTTCAAAAATTACTTATGGCCCCGCCTGCCACGAGTCTGCGTCGAGTATATCAAGAGAAACGCATTAATATTTATACTAACATAGTGTCAAAGAACTGAAAATAATATTCGTATAGTGCTAAAGTAAATAGGATTAGTATCGTGCCATCAATTTAGTTTTTAATTTGACGAAACAAATGTTGATTTAAAATACATGTCCTGCGTCTTATGCCAGTGACAGATATGTGTCAAGATATTTGCAAATATGTCCAAAGACTATGTGGGATATTGCAAATATTTTAAAAGTGTGTGTGAAAAATTGTTTAGGCAATATAATGCGATACAACACATTTTTGTTGATCGCGATCACGTTAATTTGGTGCGCTACCTGTACAAACATATTTGTAAAGTCGAAACTTTCCATAAACATTCATAAAAACATGTACACATATCTTGACACATGTCTGTGATCAGCATTGAGAATTCTGTCAAATCTGTCAGTATCGCTTCACTGTAGAAAAATAACACCAGGTTTGGATACTAAAGTAGATAATTTAAGATAGATCAGCATTTGACTACCCTCCAAATCGCCTGGTGTTAGAATTTGACAACGAAATGACAGATTTTTGACAGACTTCAAGAACAATAAATGTCGCCCATTTCTCACTTTTGCCATTTCTGGAAATGGTGAAAAATATTACAATAATTTTTGTTAAAGCAAACTAAACATTTGTGAAATAAAAATAATAATTAAAAAATTAAAAAAAGAGTTTGTAAAAAAATTTTGAAATGTCAAATAAAAATGTATCATTTGTAAATACACATACTATTATTGATAAAAATTATTAGTTACAATAAATAAGATTTTTCGCAGCTCTGGATTTTTGTTATATCAGATGAAACTAACACCCGTATTCACAAACGATGCTTGCTTAAGTGAAGCAGCAAATCGAACGCACAGCGTTGAATAGAGCTCTGTCTTTTATCGTGTCGACAACAAACCTACACAGTGTCAGCCCAAAACTCCGCCACAAGAGTGGCGTTGTCAGTTCTATGATGATGGAGCTCTGTGATTGGTTCGTGTGTCACCCTGTGCGTCCACGCGCACTGTGAGACCTCATAGTAATGTTTGTGAATACGGGCGTGTATTTTAATGACAACTTTAATGGTTGACACTTTGACCTTATGCTATGAAGTTCTGAGTTTTATTCTCTCAGCTGTACGTTTTGGAATCTTGTGTTAATAAGTTCATCTTGTACGTAAATACATTGTAAATATTGTACATAAATAGTTTTAGGTAGTATATTATGTAACAAATTTTTTGTATGCGCTGTATAGGTAGTAAATGTTGCGTTGGCCACTGCAGGGCATGGCCATATCCCACACGTTTTATCGATTAAAAATGACAAAGTAAAATAAAAAAGTAATTGTTTTCGTACTTTAATACGACTTTAAAATATGATTAAAGGTTGAAATATGAATAAAAAATTATTTTTAACCGACTTCAACAAAAGAGGTTCTCAATTTGGTTGGCTTTAGATACCTACCAGTGACTATTAACCTATGTAACAGCTTTTTTTTTTCAGTTTTTGCTAAAGCCTGGTCCGTGAACACGTAGAATTTTGTCCAATGACCCCCAAGCTACCCATCCTTATCGCTCGCACGTAATTATGTTGCTGTCGCACTCGCACACTCACTGCGGGCGCCCGTCGCACAGTCGCGACAGCAATATAATTACGCGCGAGCGATAAGGATGGGTAGCTTGAGGTCATTGGACAAAATTCTACGTGCTCACGGACCAGGCTTTAGAACATAACCCAAGTCAAAAAAAACTAGATAAAATAGATTAATGTTGAATACTCAATTATGTTTTTACTAAATAAATATTTATATTTAAAATACATTTACTACCTATATTGAGAAATAGTGAGATAGTTAGTCGACTAAAAAAATTAATTGAAAAAAATCTAAAAAAAAGTGTAATTATTATGTGTTTTGTCTATGGATGTTTATGTTACGTGATCATGAATTAACCGTCGTTGTGTTTTAACTGTGTTGCCATCTTTTTAATTTGTTTTAACTTTATTGTAACAACGTGGTGAAGTTAACTGCGCACTTGTTGGCCGTGACGTCACGTCGACGCTCTGGTACGGAGGTGTGCGAGGGCACGGTAATACTATCTATACAGTATTCCAACTCGGCCATATTTTTGAAATAAATGTCAACAGTCGCGCGTCACGTCACAGTATGACAACATGCGATAGGGCTGCCCACGTACATTACCCAGTTTAATTACATCTGCCTACTTAGAATTTCTATCTAGTTTTGTGATTGTATTTTTTTATTTAGTTAGAATAACAAAATACTTTGTGAATGGAATAGGTTAAAAATGTGTGTTGTTTTGTTATTAGTAGATTTAATTTAGTAAAAACTACTTAAATAATTTTGAAACTTTAATAATCATAATGATCTGTTATTTTAATTTTGGGCGGGCGAAGTCGTGGGCAAAAGCTGGTTTAATACAATATAATTTTCATTTCAAATCAAACTGACTGAAAATGACAATTTGACTAGTTTTTGACCAATTTGACCGTAAATGACGGTCAGTCAAATTCAATCAGTTTTGTCATTTTTATCACTTGGCCACCGACGTCCATTCGGCACATTCGCGACACCCCCGACTTTTGCATACCGAGCGCATACCGAGATTTGAATTTCGAAAGAAAGTTCTCGTTTCGTCTGTTTATATGAAGTTATAATACTGTATGATATTATTACCGTGGCGAGGGAGAGTCGCATTCCAGCGAGATCCGCAGTTAGCTTGATCGGGTTGTATCCAACTGCCTTACGCCCGTATTCACAAACGATGCTTGCTTAAGTGAAGCAGCAAATCGAACGCACAGCGTTGAATAGAGCTCTGATTGGTTCATGTATCACCCTGTGCGTCCACGCGCACTGTGAGACCTCATAGTTTGTGAATACGGGCGTTAGTGTAGATGCACAAATATAGGGTTACTTTGCTTCTAACTCAAAATAACTATACTAAAGCCTGGTCCGTGAGCACGTAGAATCCCGTCCATTGACCCCAAGCTACCCATCCTTATCGCTCGCGCGTACTTACATTGCTGTCGCGACTGTGCGACGCGCGCCCGCAGTGAGTGTGCGAGCGCGACAGTAACATAATTACGTGCGAGCGACAAGGATGGGCAGCTTGGGAACATTGGACGGGATTCTATGTGCTCACGGACCAGGCTTTAACAACACCGAAAACCTAAAATACCTGGATGACACTCCTAAGTATTAAATTATATCATTTGCTGTGTTGCCAGTCCCTATTCTCTCAGATTGTAAAAATGTCATGTTGAAATTGTAAACTACGTCAGTTTATAATATAACGCGTGACATTGTAATGTAACTACGTCAGATTATAATTTGACGAAATTCACAATTTTACGATGGCATACAGGGTGTTAGGTGAATGAGCCGACACTAGCCCATTTTAACATGGGCATGTAAATAGTATGGCGAAGTTATAAATTTGATATCATCATTTTATTTTTATAATTTTCATACAAAATAAATTTTATGAAATCCGATTTGTATGAAAATTAAAATAATTAAAATGAAGATATCAATTTTCTGACTTCACCATACCATTTATATGCCCATGTTAACATGGGCTAGTGTCGGCTCATATACCCATTTACCTGTATACAAATGGTGTTCCATGTAGTGCTAGACTAATCCTCGATGTAAATTAATCATGCTATAAAACTGCCTTTCACTTTTGCATATTAATATTTATTGTGTGTTTGTATTGTATAATAATTCAAAATATCGATTCTCAAACTTGTCTTCGTTTTTTAAACGTCATTTTTTCAAAGATTAACATTGTTGTGTATAATGTGCCTTATTTTTCTGTTATATTTTTAAATGCATTGGGCTTGTTAAGACCGTACAATTTATAAAAGTACTAAAAAGGATTTATTATATTGCCTACAGAACATCGAACGAAAATTGTTATGTCAAAAAAAACCTTTTTTTAAAGGGCTTTTAAGTTAAAAAAAGATGTGTGATTCTTCCCGTGATGTAGAAAACTCGCTACCATACTCCTATATTTATTGATTTATATTCTTCAGATCAAATGAGTTCCACAACAGTAGGTAAGCTGTCCCCGGGACAACTCAACCTTCACTGGTTGGGTTTCATTGGAGGCCAAGCTGTAGATCCTGGCTACACAGGAGATGCAGTGGTGGGAAAGAGAGGTGGGAATAGTCCCGAGTAGGTCATCTTTCAAAGTAAAACTTATAACTGTTTTTGCAAGTTAGGCTTTTAAAAAGCAATTTTACACGTCCCAAATATAGCTTGCCCTATCACCACTTCGGGACAACATTATGAACTGAGAAGTGGCAGAACAAACTCGGTCAAAAAGTTTGAGTATCGATGTTTCTCAAAATGTGTATAGTATTAGAAGTATATTGTAATGATGAATGACTTTAAAACTGTGCCTTATTATGTGTCTTTAGGTTATTATACTATTGTTTTTCTAATTTAGATGGCAACATTATTTTTCAATTGACGTTTTGTATTTTTTTACTCGATAGTGTAAGGAAATTTGTATAATACTCATGTATATATTATATTTATACGAAGTGCCATTTCTGTGTATTATTTACTGACCCTTTTTTAACAGTTACCTAGTTATTATAAAAATAGTTTTTTCTTATAACTCAAAAGACTTTTTACGCTCCGTTCACGTTACAGCTTCGTTTGAACTAGCTGTCAAGCTAGGGACACCCAAGCGCTCAATTTTGACCCCCCAATTGTGTCCCAATCCCGCACCCGTACCTTAAAATGTCAAACGTAACAAGTTTGGAAAACTGAGACAGACCACGACGCTCTATGACTAAATTTTTAATTCCAAGCACACATTCTCTATACTCAAAAAATGTGCTAAATGTACCTAATATTAGTTAACATTCCCCCTGAAGTGTTAGGCAAACACCTCGTCTAATTTTTGAGTAAATAAACATTTTAATGTGCAAATAAAGTATTCGAAGTGATGAACAAATGTTGACTGCCTTGATTGATCTATTTTAAATATGACATTGATTTGAGTTTGTGTTAGTCTCGGTTATTAATATGAACGAGCCAAAAATAATTTATAGACCTCGCCACACTGACATAAGTAAGGTCTGTTTTCCACCTAAGTTTATTACGCAAGCATTAGCAAGCATTTAGTTGTCTTACCAGCACCTGGTGTTAAGGAAGATGCAGTCTAGGATGGTATATCTACCCTGTAAGTGCCAATTCACTCTCGCCTTGAAAAAGCCCGGATTATAGTCTTCGGGAAAGACAGCAGCAGGCAGCGAATTCCAGTCCCAAGCTGTTCGCATTATAACATGTTTTTTTAGTTTTTTACGCAATCAATAGCAATAGCAAGCATTTAGCTCCACTCAACTTCAGTCAAAATAGTTGACAAGAGCACAGATAAATGTTTTCATACAAAATACGTCGCACAAAACAAATACAATCTCAGTTATTTTTTGGTCGCTCCGAAAATCTGTAAGAAAGAAGGCTTAAATGATATTGAAGATTTACTAAGTAGGTAGCATTTTGTCATTTCACACAACTAAATTGGCTAAAACTCTTCCAAATAGGTATTTTCTCCTTGACATTAAATAGTTACAAAATTCAGATTCGCTAAATTACTAATGAGTAGCAACTCAAGTAGGTATGTTGGGTAATTTAACTGAATACGAAATGCTATAAAACAGAAATTTTGAAAGAAGTGCACGTTAAAAAGATGCAAAAATATGATTTCCACACGAGGGGTTCCGTACGTGCTTTTTATTACCAGGAAACATTTTAAAAAAGCTCCGTTTCCTCGTGGTCCTACTATTAATACTTAAACCGATGCTATGTGTTACCGATTCCACTTCGTATACAGGGTGGAAACGATAAGTGATCTCACTCGATTATTTCTAAACTATACAAGATATCAAAAAACTGATTACTGATCCTGAAAGTGCTTCATGAGCTCTTTCAAACGGTATCAGTAATAGGTTACAGAATTAACTGGATCTATCGGAAAAGGTAATGTTCTCAGCCTCCATACTAAATGTATGCCAGCCACACAATATTAGAAGTGTTATTTTTTTTTATCAAATAATAAATACTTAAAATGAACTCGTAAACTGAATTCTTATTTAAAATTATTCATGGAAAACATTGGCTTTTGGCTTTACTTGTTATAATATTATCAAGAAATGAGTGCCATGACTGTGGCAGTACTAAATGTATGGAAGCTGGAAACTTTGAATTTTTAGATAGATCCAGTTTATTTTGTAACTTATTATTGATACCATTGGATAGAGCTCATAAAGCCCTTTCAGGATCAGTAACCAGTTTTTGGATATCTTGTATAGTTTTTAATGTTATGTGGTTTTACTAAATGTATGGAAGCTGGAAACATTGAATTTTCGGATAGAACCACTTTATTTTGTAACCTATTATTGGTACCGTTGGATAGAGCTAAGGAAGCACTTTCAGGATCATTATCCTGTTTTTGGATATCTTGTATAGTTTAAAAATAATCGAGTGAGATCACTTATCGTTTCCACCCTGTATACTTAATTAATCTACCTGAACGGATATTCTGAACGTTCGATATTTTATTTGATCGTTCGATGAAACGTGTTCGATATTTTGATTTTCGATCATTTGTAATTCGATATGGTGTAGGTAACCCAATCTAAACGTACCTAACTAAACCGAAGCACAATTTTAGAGTTTTGTCTACTACAAGTACTTACACACGCTAGAGAAGTGATTCCAATCGGTAACACTTAGAACTTACAAACAGGCTGCTGAGTTGCACCATCTTTTTTTAACTTTAACAAACGTCAAAAATCTGTAAAACTCCATACAAAAAGCTCCGGATTATTCGATTCCGAAGTTGGTGCAACTCAACCTTAGTTGACTGGTGGCATTAAGTCCCCCATTTGAACAACTTGAATCGTAATTTGTAACGCATCTTAAAATTTAAATTGTCCGGGTTCACTAACCTAGTAAAGAACATTCAAAGTCATTTGTAACACCTTAGTAATAAATTGTTAGACAAACTTATTACATCGATGTAACATTAATATTCTATCCAAGATCCCGCCAAGAACGTGTACTTTTCACCAATAAAGAATGTACTTTGTAGAGGCGCTAGTGTCTTAGGAATTAGTTTATTTTGTATGAGTTATGATTAGTTCAAAATTTCGCCACGCGCACTTGCTTCTGGTAGACCTTTATCTTGACAAAGATAGATTTGCAGTCACTAGTGGCGCTACTGTCTATGTGAAACTATGCATATTGTAAGATGAAATTGTGGTTCCACTTTCAACCGCAGGTATTAAGTTTGTAATACACCAAAGTCGGAGGTCAAAGGTGACAATCTAGCGTAATGATCATTCCATGTGAACCACCTTTCGTTCAGTCGAGCGCGAAAAAGGAAGACGAGCTGTCATATTTACGCGGGAATTTTGACAGCACGTGGCCAGTGCTTTTAAAAGTTTATATTTTTAAAAGAAAACTTTTAAAAGAGTTTATATTTTTTGAGGTTTTATTTTATAAAGTGTTACCAAAATGAAATTAGCAGTTGGATTATTTGTGGTAAGTATTCTTACTCTCTTTTTTATTTGTTCAAAAGTATTTTAAGAATAAAAAAATATTTTCTTAAAACCCGTGCGGGAGATACCTGCTAAGCACTCTGAACAAAACCATTGGGCTATTGTCGCTTTAAATTAATTCAATGATCATAAATCTTCACAAAAATCAGAAATTATATGTTTTTTCTAATTTTAGACTAAAGTTTACGGCATTCTTTATATGCATGCCTTTTCAGCGGTTTATCCACATCCCAATATTGCTCACTCTATCACCTCGCAATCAGCTGATCAATGCTGAAAAGAAGTGGCGAAAGAAAATAATGGTTAAATCGTATTTTTTCAAAGGGCTTTTTGAGGGTTGGAAGGTTTTCAAAGGGTTGAATCATGAAAGGAAATGGAAATGCCTAGGTTGGAAACCTTTATTTTGTCTCCAATCATCCACTTTTCACTAGAGGGCTCCTATGTTCTTCGATTAATTTCGTCGCAGGTCCAATGACAGTTTAAATTTCCCCCGGGATAAACTTGACATTCACTGGTTGGGTTATTTCGGTCAAGCTATAGATCCTGACTACACAGGAGTTGCAGCGGTGAAAACGAGAGGTGGGAATAGTCCCGTACATAATTATTACAGTCATGTAATAACATAACTGCGAGCGGCGCAGGACCGGTCTTTGTGGACATCCTTGGAGGAGGCCTTTGTCCAGCAGTGGACGTCTTTCGGCTGAAACGAACGATTAACGTAAAACTTATATTTTAGGACTAAAATAAATATAAAGTCCTTTCACCTTTCGTACCAAAAACATAAGAAGGATAGCCAAAATGTAATTAAAATTAGCAATCTATTCGCAGGTACCATATTTTTACATAAACTAATAAAAAACCTCGCCATATTACTAAAATATTAGCCAAAAACGTGTTTAATATAAAAAGATAATTTTAATGACGTACCTATCAAGCGAGGTCTTATAGTGAATTTTTATCGTAAGTAATTTTATACTAAATAAATATTAATATTCATAAGTTAGCTAGCGTAGACGATTTTTTTACGATGTGGTTTTTTTGAAATAGCAAATATTTTTATTAAAATTATGTAAGCTTTCCGCCCGCGGCTTTGCCCGCATGTAATTTTGTCTGCCACAGAAAAACTTTATCGCGCGCGTCCCTGTTTCAAAAACCGGGATAAAAACTATCCTATGTCCTTTCCCGGGACTCAAACTATCTCTATACCAAATTTCATCAAAATCGGTTCAGTGGTTTAGGCGTGAAAGCAAGACAGACAAACAGAGAGTTACTTTCGCATTTATTAAATTATACAGGTTGTTAGATAAATGGGTATATGAGCCGACACTAGCCCGTGTTAACATGGTCATATAAATGGTATGGTGAAGTCAGAAAGTTGATATCTTCATTTTAATTATTTTATTTTTCATACAAATCGGATTTTATAAAAATTTATTTTGTATGAAAATTAAAAAAATTAAAATGATGATATCAAATTTCTGACTTTACAATTAGTAGCATGTTACATAAAATATTAATATGTAAGTAGACACTTAAGTACTTAGTACTCGTACCTACTAACTTACCTATACCATACACTGTACCTTGACTTCGAACTCTTCCTATGTTCCTCTGATTAATTTCGTTGCGGGTCCAATGACAGTTTAATAAAACTTTCCCCCGGGACAAACTTGACCTTCACTTGTTGGGTTTTTATTGGCGGTCAAGCTGTAGATCCTGGCTACACAGGAGTTGCAGCGGTGGGAACGAGAGGTGGGAAATAGTCTCGTTACTACGTAACTCCTGTACAGCCAGTATCTTTAACAGTTTAGCGCCAACCCAAGTAACATTTTACTCCATTTAAGAGTTCACATTTAGTTCCAATGTGTACTTAAAGCATTAGTACAGTTCACTCGTGATGTATAAGCTGTATTATTGCAATTAATTACACCTATACCTGTCTAAGGGACTTATAGGAGTGTAGACTAGTGTAGAGTTATACTTTTATACGATTGTTGGTGTTATAAATACTCTAACAACTATCCTTTAGTCAGCCATCTGACTAAGAGCATTATAGGAGGGTAGAGATACGGCAACCGCTGTTTAACGGCCTACTTGTACGATGTTATAGAGCTAGCATTTTAATAGAACACACGTGGTCATTTATAAAGCCAAAGGCTGTTATGTTTACTTGTTTTAGACTGTTATACAGCTAGTAGCTGTAGTAGGACTTGCTTGTGATAATTAAAATAACCTTTTTTTACTATCTGTACAAAAGTGTTTCAATGGTTCGCATGTACACTGTAGGCTGTTAAAAGGACTATATGTGTTGTCCATTAACATCAATAGCAGTTTATTTGTCCACAAGTACTACTCTTATTTGCTTTAAGCTGAACACGAATGTGAATGTGATATTCTATTACACATTTCCCCAAGCCTGTTTTTAGTTGTTCATGGTGGTTCTGTACATGATGCAGAGGAAAATATTATGCCTGAACCTGAAATTTCCCTTCAAAATATACCAGATATCAGAGTGTGATGATTGCAGTTCTTGTGATAGTGAATACCATTTTGATTTGGACAATTATTTAACCTTTCGCAAAAAAAAATAAGAACATGGGCTATTGAAAATCGTATTCCTCATTCCGCTTTGAATAAATTGTCAAGCATAATAAACGAATTTAAACCGGGAACACTACCGTCTGATGCTTTAGGTATTCATACTTGACTATTAGTACCTGGGCTAGGCGATTTAACGGACATTAATAATTTTTATTGCGGATCTCTAAAATTTCAGTATTTGAAAGAATTAAAGATACACAATTGACCTGAACTAGGTACATCTTAAAGCTGTACATAAGTTCACATTAGAATAAATTTATAGACATTAGCGCTGTAGTGGTACAAATGTGGAACTTCATATAGATAACAGCATTCTAACAGAACACATGTGAACCTAATATACGCTCACCGCATTAAATTGGAGTTATAACAGTTCACATAGCCGTATTTCATTTCCACCATTTTGTTCTACATAACCTAAAATATTTACCAAATAAATCTCCAAAATTAATGCAGATTTATCACAAAATTCGCAGATAGAGCGATTGAGTTTTGGTTTCATGTTATAATTAATTACCGTAATATAATTATAATGCCAATCCAATATCAAAAACTGAAAATTGTAGATTTCCTCTCAGCCAGTTTTAAATATTTTAAAATGAATATCGCGTTTTTACAGAGGCGCGTAAATATTTTAGCTGTAAATATGTATACATTTCACGATAAAGTTGCATTCCCAATGGCATTAACATTATTAAGTATTTAAAACCCGTGTTATTATTTGCATAAATGATTATCCGCCCGAGTTGTTTCCCTCTTGGCACTCACGTACAAATACCAAACTAATATTAAAATGTGGAAATAATTTAAGACACACGTGAACTTTAGGTAGCATTGGAGTACTTTTGTCGGACTTTATAACTTTGAAAGCTGTGCATTTAGCCACTTGTTACTCTTTATTGTCCTCACGTACGTTGTATGGTTCACACTGCGTCCCATATAGTGCCGTAAGTCAGCCTTAAGTACGATGTTACTACTTAAACTGCTATTATAATGCTATTATACTGCTAATGTACAGCCATAGTGAACTTAAAGCTGTCTAATTTGTGCCCAAACTGGTTCTATAAAAGCATTATAGCAAGCTATACAGCTCGTATACAGCTGACATACACAGCTTGTGGAGTACATGTGAACGACTATTGAACTCTTAAATGGAGTAAAATGTTACTTGGGAATGAAACCCAAAACAGTGAAGGTTGAGCAGGTACTTACCTACCTTCCCACGTTTTTCCTGCCACGTTACGTGGCTGTTAGGAAAAAATATTTCATCGACCACGCTAGTATTTCACCGACTACGTTAGGGCTTCACCGACCACATTAGTACTTCACCAACCACGTTAGTGCTTCACCGACCATGTCAATACTTCACCAACGTCGTCAGTGCTTCACCGACTGCGTTAGTGCTTCACCGACCACGTTAGTGCTTCACCGACCACGTTAGTACTTCACAGACCATATCAGTGCTTCACCGACCACGTTATAGTATATCATCAATCATATGTTAGTACTTCACCAACCATGTAGTGCTTTACCGACCACGTCAGTACTTCACCGACCACGTTAGTGCTTCACCGACCATGTCAATACTTCACCAACGTCGTCAGTGCTTCACCGACCTCGTCAGTGCTGCACCGACCTCGTCAGTGCTTCACCGACCTCGTCAGTGCTTCACCGACCACGTTAGTGCTTCACTGACCTCGTCAGTGCTTCACCGACCACGTTAGTGCTTCACTGACCTCGTCAGTGCTTCACCGACCACGTTAGTGCTTCACTGACCTCGTCAGTGCTTCACCGACTTCGTCAGTGCTTCACCGACCACGTTAGTGTCGAACTGTCGACAGCTTACGTGATCTATGAGACAGATCAAGAATCACTTATTTCAGTGGGCTGAGTGATGGAAATTTTAGTTTTTGAACGTTTCCCGCTAGGGGCGCTGTACAATCCGTCATACATTTAATGTCATTTTTTCAGTGAGCGCGTTTGATGAAAACTCACACTCAGCCCTCAGTACTGAAATACACACTTAGCAGTATTTTACTTTCTCTGTGGTCTAAGTAGTGGTAGAATGGGCTCTTTGATCCTCCCGGGTTCGATTCTCAGGTCGTAAGATTATCATACTAATATTATAGAGAGGTAAAGTTTGTGTGTTTGTATATTTGTTAAATTGTAAGGGGTAATCTCGGGATCTACTGAACCGATTTTATAAATTCTTTCACCAATAGAAAGCCACATTATTGCTGAGTGTCAAAGAATATAAAAAACCGAAAAATTCCACGCGGGCGAAGCTGCGGGCGGGAAGATAGTATATAGTATAAAATAACGAAGCAGAAATGTCTTGTCTATTACATAAGCTCATTTTCTTTTAATTTTATTAATTAGTTG